CAGTCTTGAAGGCAGCCATCTTTTTCAGGTGCTCTCATGACTGCTTGGCGGTTTTAGCTCACACATCTGCCGTGGAATTCCGTGCGGTCTAGTTCATTGTCCTGCATCGGGTATTAAGCATGACCACCAGTAATCGCAGCTTGATCTTTGTAGATCTGAGCTGGTCGGGTATACCATTCCGTTCTCTTTCATTTTCGTGGTCCAAAAGACTATGGCGTTCAGTCCGCCAGCGGATTCGCATGAACCGTCACACGCTCAATACAGAACGGCGTCCTCGGGCGGTTCTTTTTGTCCACCTCGACTGCCTCCATCTTGGCCAGCGTCGCGAGCCCGTCGTCGCCAATCACCCGGCCAAAGACGGTGTTGAGGCCGTCGAGGTGCGGCGCGCGGTCGAGCAGGATGAAGAACTGGGAGCCGTTGGTGCCCGGCCCCTTGTTGGCCATGGACACGATGCCGCGGTCGGCGTGGCGCAGAGCCGGGCGTATCTCGTCGGCGAAGACGCCGCCCCAGATGGAACGCCCGCCCTTGGGGTTATCGGGGGGCGAGGGCACGGCGGGAGCGCCGGTCTGGATCATAAATTGCGGGATGAGGCGGTGAAAGGGCGATTGGTCGTAGTAGCCGGACGCGCAGAGGGCGAGAAAGTTCTGCGCAGAGGTTAGTGATGCGACCCCGCGGGGGGCGCGTTTGGGATGGGGCGGAAAGAAGAAGAAAGGGCGTGCATACCTCGGCGGTTTTGGGCACGCTCTCGCAAAAGACTTCGATTTTGAGGTCGCCGAGAGATGTGTGCAGTGTGACGGACATTGCGCCGGTCAATGGTGCAGAGGCAGAGTTTGGAGGGCCATGGAAGTGGTGCTAACTTGAGATGGTGGTTTGCTTGTGTGTAGCCGTTGGGCGGCCAATCTCCACTGCGCAGCGCGGGTCGATTTACAGCAATTAAATCATGGAGAAAGTCAAGGTCTTTGGGGGTACGTTTTCAAAATCCCGGCTTCTTTCCTAGATTGCTCGTGTTGTTGTTTTTTTCCCTCGCTCTTTTTGGACACTTTGTTGTAGCGCTTGTGATATAACCCCAATCTCGTATCCGCGCAAAGACGGTGCTAAGGCGTTGGCATGCGCGGCTACCTAAATATTAGGTGTTTCAATGAATACTTCGAAACCTCCGGGCGTCGCCCTTTTTTTACTTTCATTTATGTAAGCGAAAGATCGCCATTTGATACCCGAGCCTGTATGATACTCGGTCCGGCTATTCTAGAATAACGAGAGGTATTTCGATGCTGGTACTGTTGCAATTGGGGTCCCGTTTCGAGCCCCAGCAGTCGGCCCGTTGGCTGCCTCATCAAGGCTGCCTTGTGTGAGACAGCTACAGCCAGCGGAGGAGCAAGGCTATGAATGGCTTGCAGTGGGAGGGGTCGTATTCCGTTGAAGCCATTTGCCAGCCAGCAGCCTGTAGATGAGGATGAAGAAGTCGGGAAAGCTGTTAGTTGGTTAGGTAGCAATGGCTCTGTATCCTTATGGAGTAGATGGATAAATCATCCGTGCTCTGGCTTGCCGGGACGGTATCCGTGCGACGGGTGTCTGCTTTTGCTGGGCGATCGTTGTGGGACAAGCTGTGCCTTTTTGAGCGTGTTGATGCTGTTGACAACATGCCCTGTGTGCGTGCAGAGTTCCCCGCCAAACAAGCGTCATGGCGTTTCCGTTCCAGATGTGCGGTCTTGTTTATCCTTGTCTTCGAATCGCAACTCTCTCACACACCGACCAGCTTGCTGAAAGCCAGACACCAGCCTTTAATCCCTTGCGCTTTTTGGGCGCTTCTTCCAACAGCCTTCTCCGCTGCGTCAGTCAGCCTGACCTCCAGCTGGGCACGCGCTACGAGGCCCAATCCGGCCGCCCTGGATAGCCAAGACAGCCTACCTAGGTAGCACCGTAGCACAGGCCTTCGAGACACGGCACGCTGGCCTTTGAAATTCAGCCAAACGAAGAGGAAAGAAAGGAAGACCAATTTGATGCGATTATTTACAGGTGAGTTGGTGGGCTACTGACGCCAGCGGCCAATGCCTGGACGCAGCTTCTGTCAATACCCCCCAAAGAAGGGCCGCTAATAGTTAATCGCCGTTCCCAGCTTGACGCCAGCCTCACCTGTCGCTTGTCCAACGCTTTGCCCTATCTTGCCTCCTCTTCCGTGCACATCACCGACCTCTATCCTCTTTCGCTCGATCTACCTCACCATCTGCTTCTCGACGTCGTTTTCCACCAGGCCATGGTCCCGCGCGCACGACTTTGCCAAATTTAGCTCCATTCTCCATCCGATCTAGGACTCTTTCCTTGGCTTCCGGTGCCAACTGCCACCCCCCGGTCCGAAGCCTGCGTCGTCGTCCGCAGAGCTCAGCCTCCCCTCGATTAAAGGATCGCCCTCTCTATAGCAAGACTGTGAGAAGATACATAAGCTATCAGGAGCGCCACCCTTGTCTTGCAACACACGCCGCTCACTGCCCCTCTGCGCCCTAGTCGTGGTGGACGCCCGTATGACGCCATGGCGACCGCTCAGGCGAGTGTGAGGGTTACCGGGCCTCCTAATAGCAGCTTTCTCGTGGGATATCCGGGAATTTCTGCGACCTTGGTAAGTTGTCAATTCGAATATGGCCTTCTGTCTGCCCAGTGCTGACATGGGACCTCCCTGAGCTTAGCCACGCGTCGAAGGCAAGGTCGAAATCCGCCCTGCACAGGGCTTCTCCATGCCAGTCCCGATTTCCCTCGTCCGAATATCATTACTGCGTCGCGAAACCATACATCCCGATGCCGATAATCTCGCCAAGCGACATTTGGGCACGGCCCGAAAGGAGATAACCGACGTGGTCGGCAAAGAGGTGCTCCTTTTTCGCTGCTCCTCGGGCAAAGAGGCGGAGAGCGTCGTGGCCATGGACCTTCCATTTGTGCTCTTCATCCCCTTTGGCAAAGGCGGCGAGGAAGTCAACCGCCGCATACCACCCGCGTCGCTACAGCTCCCAAACAGGACAGCCGAGACCTATTACGAAATCGCCGTTACTGTGCAGCAGGGCTACAGCAATCAGTACAAGTATACGTTACCCATGCCATTACAACGTTATGACACTCTTTCCACATTTGGCATGTACAACATGCCTGAATCGAAACTTGTCAGCTCGAGTGACCTCGTGCATATGGGCATGACCTTGCCGAAAGGGAGCTATGGGCCGGGCGACCCCATTACCGTATATATAAAATTGTCACCCAACCTGGACTGGGCGGCCAAGGCTAAAAAGGTCACCATTGATAAAATCACGTTGACTGTGGAGGAAGAAATCACCTTTAATCCAGAAGGAGACGAACCAACAAGGAAGATCAAAGCAGTGGCCAAGCAGACCCAGACCGTCAAGACAAGGATGCCCGAGGCCGGCTACGCCACCAACATCGGCCTGTGCTTCCCGTGCAATCACTTGCGTGACGCCGACGGTTTCATCAAGAGAGGAAAGCCGGCCTTTCCCTTGTATGAGGTTTCCACTTTTACGACACAATCATCACTCTACAAGATTGAGTTTTTCCTCCATATCAAGGTACGTGAGTCCGTGGGGGGCCGATGACGATTCTTCCTGTCTAATTTGGCATGTGCAGGTACAATTAAGCGGCGCACGCGATATTATGATCCGACAGCCCATTGTCATATGCCCTCTGGATCAGCAAGCCTGCAAAGAGGAAATGGACGCTATTGAGCAGGCGGCCAAGGATGCTTCCCACGTCAACCCCAACAACCCCATGCTACCGGCAGGCACCATTATTCTTGCCAGCGATCGTGACTCGATTCGTGCTCTCGGTCTATGCACCGTCGGCGGACAGAACAAGCCCTTTATCGAATAGGCCCGCAGCAGATGCACTTTTTCTATAATGTTTTGCGTCTGCGTGGCTCAGACAGCGTCCAATTGGGCAAAGTACCCCCGTACATATACATGACTGATATTTGACCTCGTTGCGGAATTCTACTTGGCGAACAGCGTTTGGATCGGGCATTGGGTAACGGCGTTTGCGGCACATGTGCTTTGGCTCTATTATATCGACGAGAATGTTAACTCTAGTGGTTGATATTGGCATTCAGGTGGCGTGGTTGGATCATTGTCGCAACGAAACGTGTTGCAAAGGCTGCATGTGCGCCTACCTAGCGGCTAGCACGCTTCCAAATAATAAAATATCATGAAATCCTACAGGACTGTTTTACGATTGAGGAAACACCGGCTTGATGGTGAAAGGGGGGTGCAAAGTTTCTACGAACCGAGGAAGCTCCTGAGCGTACAAAGCGTAAGCGGCGGGCAAGCACCTCGTTGTTATTGAATTCTCAGTCATCTCAAGCCGCTATCTGACTATTCGCGGCCATGATTAGGTATTTGCAGAACCGTTGCCGTGGACACAACGAACGTCAGGAGATGCAAATGTTAAGGTGTGTCACCAGAGTCGACCCCTGTTCTCAAGGTTTGATCAGGCATCAATAAGAAGCTCGAGCCCGTGTATATCGAAACGACATCGTTTCTTGCCAGTCACCTTGTAGTTTCACGCGCTTGGGTAGGTTAATCAAGGCCGTAGTAACCTAGAGCTCCACGATACTTTACTCAGTTGCTATACTACAGAAGTACCAAGGTCGTCGTACTTGTGTTTAGCAAAAGGCTCTCTTGCAGGCGGCACTTTTCTTTATAATAAAAAACAGAATCATAATAATAGCCACGATAGCAAATAATGAATAATATCCACGACAGCACTAACAGCACTAGCAACGGCGCACCTGTTGGAACGGCGTCCTCAAGGCTGACGGTGACAACGCCATGGATAAGCAGGGCCTTGGCCAGAGAGAAAAAACCAATCAAGTCTTGCTACCCGAAGATTCAGTTTACTATCTTCTCCCGTTTCCAAGAAAACAAGAAATCTTGAGACGTAAAAATTGAAGACTCTCCATTATACAGAGAGACAGAGAAGAGGCATTGAAAAAATGCGCAAAAAAAACATGCGAGCCGTAGGGATCGAACCTACGCGGGCGATGCCCATTGCGGTTTTGGATATTCTATCGTCCCTCCAAAGAGAAACAGATTTGTCCTAAACACAACGCCTTAACCACTCGGCCAGACTCGCTATGGTTAAAATAGTTGCTCTTATTTATTACTATACAGATTTGTGATTTGTGATTTGGTATGATGAACTATGGAATGGCGACGACTTGAGTCCACTTTTCGGATTTGCCTGGGTGAAGTGACTCTTGAAGCCTCAGTGTTGGGACGCCACTCTTTCTACAAAACATTTTATTCTATTCTTTGTATAATCCGACGCGTCAGGAAGTTGTGCAATAACCTTGATGCCAGTTTCTAACATTGTTGGTATCGATTCGGCTGATTCAGGCTTGGTGGTACATACCAAAAACCCTTCAGGCTCAGCAGGCAGTCGAGGGCGCTTTCAAAGCAACGACCATCAGGAGTGACAAAATATCGAGGACCAAGGCAAAGAGTAGTGGACAGCGCGATGTCTTTTGATGACGACGACAACCCGGCCATCGTTGCGGGACCGCCCAGCGCCGGTGGTGCTGATGGCGCTGCGGCGGCTGAGGAGGCAATGGAAGATGAGATGCCCGACTACAAATTGTTCATGAGTATGTTTGACAAAAGGGGCGTCTCAAGCAAATCAATCCGCAAGGGCGAGAAGGACTTTGAATCTCATGGAACCCGCGCGCAAGACGGTGTGCTGGAGACGAGCCGCCGCGCGCTCGAGGACGTGCTAAGCTACACGCGCATTCATCGGGGCGACGGATGGGTCCGCGGATGGTACGTGCCAGACTTTTGGAGTGCCCATGACGCAGAATCAGTTGGTCTACTGGATCCCAAGCAGGACGACGGGCGTTTGATGCTAAGAGATCGCGTCGTTGTCGTGGAGCACGAGCGCGGGAGCTGGATGAAGGACATTGGACGGTCTGTGCCGGCGGGCATCAACAGCACTGAAGCGCAAAAGCCTGGCATAGGGAGACTGTGGCTACTGCCAGAGGAGGCGCTACACATGGTCGAGCGCGGCACTCTGGATCTCTGGTGGCCGTACAGGGACCTTGGCGAACTGCTGGCTCCAGGCGAAGCCAGCGGCCCCGATGACTACGACGTGGGCATTCCTTTGAGCCTGGAAGCAGCATACTCTTTGCTTTTGGGCGAGGAGGGAGAAGAGGGAAAAATCTCGCTGCCTAGGTACCAGGTGTTTACGCACCTGAAACGAGGAGGATTTCATGTGCTGCGTGCACCAGAGGAGCAGGGTGATGCTCGCCTCGCGGACACGGCACAAACAACGTCGAACACGGCTGGAGCAGCACTGCTTCAATGGCTACTCACATTAGTGGGATGGGGCCGTGATGTGCAGCAGCAAACAGAGCCCAAGAAGCACTCCTTTGGACCACTGGTATCACCCGGCCTCTACCGTGCGTACACGCCCGTGTACGAACAGCTTAGTCTGCTCCCACGACATAGGCCACAGCGGCGCCTCACTTTTACGTATCAAGAGGACAACGTGTCGTCGTCGTCGTCGTCGTCGTCGTCGTCGTCGTCGTCGTCGTCGTCGTCGCGGAGCCCCTACGAGGTCTTCTTCCATGTGTGGAAGTCGGGCGGCGCGCCCTTTTCCAAGCGGAGCCCGCCCACGCCCAACTTTCGCGTCGCCGTGTCCGACACTGACCTGCACAGCCTGCCCACGCTGGAGGAGATGTCGGCGCTGCTCGAGTCGACGCCCCTGGACGAGCCCAGCAGCAACCCGGCGTGGAAGGGCCCCGGGAGGCTGTACCAGCGGCTCAAGCACGGCCACCGCAACGTGCTGGTCGCGGTGGTGGACCGCGGGCTGGTCAACTACATGCGCTTTGGCGAGGGAGCGTTTGGCGAGGAGAGGCTCTACGAGAGGCTGGACGCTGCCAGGCGAGGGGGCAGAGGCGGCGGCGCTGGCGCTGGCGGGAAGAGGGGTGGAGGGAGAGGAAGGGGGCGTGGTGGCAGAGGGCGCGGGAGAGGACGGTAAGGCATCTTGCGTCTTTTCTGTGCTCGTGTAATAGATTGCACATTGGACTGTGCAAGATTCTTTTTATTGGTTTCATAGAGTTGAAGCGTGATTTTGGATTCCACAATTGAGAGGGAGCGCAAGCTACACTGCGCATGCAGCAACACCCTAGCTCTCCACCCTGTGATATTGTCTGGATGGATGAATCAGTCTCGCAGGATAACCCTACGTTTTTTAATGTGATTGTATGGGTATGGATGAAGACGCAAACAACACGGAGGCTTGCACAGAAACAACCTTTGGGGCTGGAAGCGGTCGCTGTGTCGCCGCCGTGTGTTGCCAGTCCCCCCCGTCTACGGGAAACACAAAATTCATGGCCTCTGGCTTGCCTGCAGTATCCCGTATTGATTTGAAAGTTGAGTGAGGCTGGCAAGTTTTGGGTATTGTGCAAAATGCAGCCCTGCAGGCCCGTTGTCCGGCTGGGGACACGTAGGAAGCCCATCTCACGAAACGGGTGATGCAGTGCTTGTAGGGGAATGCTGGAAAAAGGTGAAAAGAGCGGGAAGAGTTTTTCAAAGTCCAGAATAGAGGACCGACGCAGTGCTATCTGGGGTCGAGAAGTAGGGCGCGTTTGATACACAACTGCTACCGTGGTAGCAAACGGGTCGCGTTCACAAGAACAGACAATGCTCTCGCAATGTAGGCATTGCTCATGGCAAATCAGGGGCCGACACCGCATTACGTTCCTCTTTTCAATCTGTTTCTTCTCGTGCGGTTTTCACCCATCATATGCTGTGTCTGCTATTCGTCCGTGATGCGATGGCTGCAGGCCACGGCACTTGAGAAGCTAGCTCCCAGATTACTTGGTGGTATCACTAAGCGCCAGAGAGATAAACAAGCACTCTTCAAACGTACTGTAGACCTAATCAGAGCGCCGGAATACGGGCGGTGAGTAGCGCCGTCTTCATTGGACGCCCGGGAGCGCGCAACACGATTGGTGCCGGACGCAGGCTTCGCTGTCACACATGCGGCCACCACGCGCACGCTAGCTTGCGGGAACTCCCCTTTATGAGCCAACGCCTGTTTTGTCCAGTGCATTATACTGGCTAGACTGAGAGCTGTGTGTTGTTGGACCCTATTTCCAAGGCTTCTGGCGTGTAGAGGGCCTCTGTGTTGAGTTGAAGCTTTGGTTGTGGCTCTGGCTGGTTTCCTGTTACAGTCTTTCCCCCCTGTCTAGACGCGCCGCATGGCTTTCTTTCTGACCGACAAAGAACAAGCTCTCTTGGAGGCCCATTCAACAAAAGATATGGCTGTTTGCGCGTAAAATTGGTCCAAGAGCAGCTCTATCTCTTGTACGGCGAGCGGGTCATGGTCCCAAGCATCTTGCCAGAATTCGACACCACGACTCAAAAGTTGGATATTCCAGCACCTCATCTCGCAAAGACTAGGCGCTGGGAGGAGTTGTCATGACTCTTGATTGTTTTATTTTATTAGTAGGGCGATTTCTGACGCTGCTAAAATCTCAGTCTGCGACTGCGCGTCAGCCACGCAAAGACACTTGCTGTGTCACACCAAGCCAGTTAGAGACATGCAACCCCATGTCGCACGCGCATGCACATGAAAGCAGACTACGCCAAACTCGTACTCGGAAAACTGTTGCGCGTGGGAATGCCCTTGCTCACTGATTTGATTATTTGAGCCGACAGGACCGAGCAGTATCAACCAAGATCTGATTTCGTGTTGCGCTACCAGACAATTAGCCAATGAGTGGTGACGAGGACTCTGTAAATGGAGGACATGATGTGGCCATGGGCGGGCCGATGTACGAGGTGAGTTGAGCGTTGGGATGGATGCCGGGCCATTGCATTACTAAAACCTTGCTTGTGATCAGCCTCCCACTTGATAAAAAGATCCGCAAGTAGGGAGTTGACGCAATCTGCCCAAGGATCAGACCGGCAGATGGATTGTCCGGGCAGAGCCTGTCTTACTCTTGCATGCTGCCCAACAGCAACAAATGCCGCTTGCATGCAAGCCCGAGGCTCGGATGCTGCCAGATGAAGTGAAATAATACAGAAGCAAGTCAAAGATTCTTGTCGGAGATGGCCACGGTTCACTGAGCGATGGTGTCTCACAACTCTTTGCGTGGGCAATCAATTGCATGCACGGCTTCGGGCGGATGTGCCGTGTTGGCTAGACCCGTTGCACGGAGCAAGGGTTTGGACGACGGGACCGTGCAGGATAACTAGTTATTTAGTCGATGTTGCCCAGGCTTGTGATGAGTGATGGCATGCGTGATGCATAAGAGGGCGGAGTGTACAGAGTATCAAGCCACCGACCTTTTGCAGGGAACCGCCAGCCAAATGCTGGTGCCATTGTATTTGGGGGCAGACGAGCACATTGGCGCGAAAAAAAAGTCTGCTGAACAAGAACACGCGTTGCCAAGCCTGGAAACCAACGTTAATCAATGACGGACGGATAGCCAACTTGAGCAATGGGAACGAAATGGTCCCATGCCCCAGTTCCAATCTTCAGCTCAAGTCAGGCATGCAGGGGACGCCACCTCTCGCCGCCGAGCACATGGCTGACGGAGGAACTTGCAAATGAATCAGTCACTCACTCTCTTTTCGCCGAACCAAGCCCGTCTTTTTGGACTCTCGCCTTGGGATGGGATTGATTGGCTCTAAAAGACGCGAAACCGATACACCAACACCGGGCGATGATGGCACCGCATAGTGTAGTTGCCCAAACTTTTGTGCGTGCGCGCGTGTAACTCGCGATCCACGACAAACCTCTTTGGTTTTACGAATCCGGGCTGCAGCCACGGTCGCGGAATCAGCCAGTCACAGGAGCTGCAATCGACAAGTACAAGAAAGGAATGAGCAGCGGCGAGCGGTGCTGCCCATATTAGGTTGTATGAGAAGAGAGGCTGAAAATCAGCCCGCTTATATTACCAGCTGGTCAACATCGGATGAAGTGTAAACTGTTTTTTTTTTTTGGGGGGG